AAACAGCCAAGAAAAAAAAAATGAAATATATGTGCAAAGTGATTTAAAGTGATATAAGGTCAAAAGGAAAGGTACGAACGGGACGCGAGGACCTGTGCGAGGCACCTCCCATGGTACAAATAATAATTAAAACATGATCAACCAAAAGACGCCAAATTTAAAAGACGCTAAAAAACTAGAGATGGCAGGGGCAGGATCGTACAATTGACCAGGTACAGGGATAGGATATGTCAAAGTGATTGTGCAAAAGGTGGAACATGTGCTCAGTAACAAAGTTGCGGAAGGAAGCAGTAGTTGAAAAACTGGTAGGGGTGAAAACTTACAGATATAGTTCCAGAGCTTAACAATACGATTAAAGTAAAAGGCCTGAAAAGTGCTAGTTTTACATACAGGAGTTTTAAGGTTATAAGAATTACTTAGTCTGGTTCGGCCGTGAGAAACAGGAGAAACAAAATCATAAACATTAAGATCAGTAAAACCATTCCGACATTTGTAAAAAAAAACAAGATCTTTGAGTTCGCGGTCAAATGTCAGAGGAAGAAGTTTCAAAGTTAAAAGTCTGTCTCTGTATGACATAACGCCTACAGGTTGTTTGAGGATCCACCTTGTGGCCCTCCTTTGAACCCTTTCAATTTGAGTTTTTAATGCAATCTTGTCCGGGGATCAGACTTGGGTCGCGTAGGATAACTGAGACTTCACAAGTGCAAGATAAAGTGAGCGTCTAGCAGAGACATCGTTTAATAGTGGGCAAGTGCGTTTCAAAAGTCCAACATTGAGCCAAATTGTCATAGTTACGGTACGTTTTCAGTTTGTTACAACTTAGAGATTTTATTTTAAAGATTGCCAATTATTTCCCTCCTCTCGGCATAATTCTAGTTAAGACGATATGGCTGGCCATGTCTGTCAGTTTTGTTAATGCTTAGCATGTTGTTATGCTTCCTTCGCCTTTGGAAGTCCCGTCTCCCTGCTTCTGTTTAGCTTTTTAGCTTTTTGAGCGAGCACTTGAGAAATGCAATCTTGAGACAAGCATAATTTTTTCCGACTTCGACAACAACATTTATCCTACATGAAAGCTGCTTACCGCTAGAAATTCTGTTTTCAACCTCCAACGTTTTCCATAGCCATTTCTTCTTGTTACCTCGCGCACTAAATTAACATGTAGAGTTGCGAAACTTGATGTTTATATATTTAGTTATTGAGTTAGTTATATTTCAACATTCTTTAATGTACCGTGGTTAGGCATTACACAGCTAGACAATTTAGAGTGCGTAACGTCTCAAGCATGCACCTGTGTTTACAAATATCAACCCCTTGGGTGTAGGATTTCCTAATTACTCAAATGCAAGTATTGTGAGATTTTGAAATATTGCCAGTCTCCCTCGTTCTTCTACTTTAAATATTTCTAGATAAATATTTCTTTAAATATTTCTATTTCTTACTCCAATTACGTAACTACTCAAGTGCATTTACATCATAATAACATTCGCTCTTCCAAAATATTTTCAATTTCTCTCGATGCAAACTTAAATATGTAATTTTCAAATTTGGCTATACTTTCTTCGTCATAGCCTCCTCGAGTCTGACCAATTCATAAACAGCATCTTATTGCTATGTTCCTAATTCGCTGAAAAACCATTAGGAAGTGGTAATATTCAAGCCAATTTCTTAGCTTTGTACCGAGTGCTGCTTCACAAAGCCCTTTCTTTCTAGCTCGCAAAAAGAGGTAGTGTAGCCCAGAGCTAAATCACACATCCAGAGAATTCAAACACAGAGGCCATCAGAAACATAGTAGAAAATGTGGTTGTTCAGGGCGAAACATAATAAATTGAGGACTAGGACCGATTAAAGTAAAGCTAAAAGGAGTCCACAAAATTAATAACGAAGGAAATTTAAAGAAAAAAGGGTTAAGATACTCACTAGCGTTTTGTGATAGCTAAAGCACAACGAGTGAAGATTGAGGAAATGGATGAGGCGACGCGTCAGAACTTGATATCTATCACACGGTTAAATTTTTTGCAAGTAAGAATTACAATACCAACAAGTCGAAATTTCATGTGACAGGATAGCAATAAGTAATACAATCATGTCTGACAAGTGGAGCAATGCGGTAATGATGGAAAAGACTTAAATGTGTGCGCAAATTCACATTGAAATCTAGTAATCAAACGACTCGAATTAATAATGGCTTAATCCAGTTCATCGATTCGGTCTCACCTTATAAATATTGACAGAGATAGGTGCATGCAGCCACCACATCCAATCAGTGCATTTTGACCATTACGGGCCGCTCATTTTGACTGTTCTCATTGCTAGGTAGTGATTTTCCACAATTATGCAACATGTTTGAGAGTTATTTTGATGAAGTAATGCAAGCATATTACTCAACAATATACTGTTTTGTCCATTTTTTTATCTATAATTCATTATTGTCAGTTCTTTACCACTCATTTCTTCTTCGCCTAAAATTTCATTCAAACAGAATGGTAGATAAGCGCATGGCAAAGATAACGATCTTTACTCTGGAAAAATTAAGTAAAACAATAGAGTGCATTTGTCATGTTCCACTCCTTATTTTTTTTGAGTGATTGTGAAGTTTGTGTTGTAAAATTTGAAATACCTTTTTTGCAGCACACAGAGTAGCATTCAAGTGAATCTGCTTCACCGTCATTGTAGGAAATCCAAATGACAAAAAATCTATCTTCAACGCTCTAAGTGGATTTCTTTGGTTAGCATTGCGTTGAAGTAAGGTATCTTGATTCCCATTCGGACAGCACTTTTGGTATCACAAAAGCTGCACGAACTTTTTCGGATTTAGAAATGATTCTTGATCGGACTTTTGTGTCTGGAGGCTATGAAGATATCACAACAACTGTAATGTTTGTGGGTGTTTGCATTACAAAGGCACCGTTTAATTTCCGCTCTGCTAGATCCTCCTCACTGCGCGGTTATTTAAGCCATTATTCATTGGAAAGAACTCAGAGATATTCTATTAAACGGCTACACATACAAACACAAAGCAAAAGGTTTTAACGTGCTGAGATTGTGTTGACGCATTTGTACACAAAAAAGCATTTCTTTAAATGAAAATCGAAGAACATTGCTCAGAAAGGAAGCAAAACAATTCGCCTGGGAAAGACCATATTGCTTTGATGCGTTTGTTGTCGATGGCATATCTTAATATTTATGCATTTTTCACACATTTTCCTTTATCCTGTTATACACTCGATTTTGATCGCCCCGCAAAAGTACATTTCTCTCCATCTCTTTTATATCATTGTGATAACTAAAGTAAAGAATGTACATCGCATAGAATCCTTTTTTCACTATTATTATGTCAAGATAGACCTTTAAGCACTCGAAGATTTTAACCAGATCCTGGTGTCTGAAAGCTCGATACAAGCATCACGCACCAGAAACAAGAAATTCAGTGCACGCAATAATGTTTTTAGTAGTAGGTTTTAGAAATGTTTTACCGCTCGAAAGGAATAAAACGACTGTATACTTACTAAAGATATCTTCGTTTTCCAAGCCATTTCTTAGTCAGCGTGTTGGCAGATGATGTGTAGGCGAGCGATGGTTTTCGCATCTGTCACTAGCTATATATAGGAAATCGAATTCTTTCAGCTTAGTTCAAACTTTCGGATTCGCGGTTTGGCCGTCCGTGGTTCTAAGGGGAGAGGTATCGGTGGCTCTTTCGAAAGCATTTGTCATTTCTTCATTGCGCTCTTCTCGTCGCTTTCAATTCGTACAAGTGTATTTACTTAAACAAACAGTTATGGGCATTAATTAAACCAGACACTGGCAGCTGATGCAGCTGAATCTAAAAGAATGGGTCTAGTGATGTGGCGACGTGGAGGTCTGTAACTGAATATGAAGCTAGCAACTGAGCATGTCGCAGAGTTTAATTTTGAAAAGCATACTTATAAAAAAGAAACGGATTTCAAATTGTTCACCGACCAAAAATAAATATAAATAGAGCTAATTCTTAGCGTTAAAATTCAGTGACTGAGTTAGATTACAGCTTATATGAATTTATAATCTGGCGTATATATTTTCCCTTATTCAGTGTTGCCAGATAACTCAGTCTCAAACAGATGACAGAAACAAACTAAGGCACGCTTTCTCCATTAAACAACTAGGTCTTCTAAAACAAATTAATGAACAGTGATAGTGATAAACTGATTTAAGAAAGCCGTGGTAAGCCGCTTCAATCACAGATAGCCTCCTGAGACTGACCTGCATTTTTTGTTTTTGTTTTGGTTTGTTTTTCTCCTTCGAACTTCCGTTCAGCTCAATGAAATCAGCGTTTCCACTCTAGGCTGAGCTGAGCTACCGGTTCTTGTCTGCGAGAAAATTTACTGGTTCAAACCAAAATACCACAATGTGTCACGCGAGTCCTATTTCGGTGATAAATGCTGGCCAACATCCATTCTTAGCGGGATAATACATCAATAATATTTCAAATACTTCCTTTGTCAAGCATAAATCTATTCATAAGGATGAGGCAGTCGTATCTGTCAGTTTTAATGGTGCATTATAAGAGTTGTGTTCCACTCCGGCCTGCCTCCGAATAGTTCTTCGCCATCTTTAAAAATGGTGTTGTAATTTATAATCTGGCGTATCCTTGTCAATACTAAACCTTTGGACAGAAGCACAATACCAAGAAAATGGAAAATTTCATTTTCTTACAGGGTAATTGTATCCTGAAAACTGAATATTGATTTCTTATTTCATCTCATACACACAAAACTGACATGAGTAACTCTGGTCGGAAGAGATCTTTGCTGTAGGGGATCAGATTTGCAAATTATTACATGCCTCTTGCGACGAAGCTATCTCAATTGAATAGGAGTAGGAAGCTCTCGTTACCAACTTAAGAGCCTCAGCATATCAGTTAGTCGCCTGAGGAGGTTATTGCGACTATATTTGAGCACAATCCGTAGATTCATTGTTTCAGTGATTTGATAGTTTGCTGTAAGAACCCAAATACAATTTGAAAAAAAAATATATCAGTAAACATTTGTTCACCTCAACTTTATCATATAAAAATTGCATTTTAGAGTTAGGAGCATTACTGATTTCCAGCTAGTTCAATCTTTCATAAAATCATCAGCCATACATTTTGTAGACATGACTTGCTTCAGTAGTTACCTTGATGAATTAGGAAATGAATATTCTGTCTCACTTTCTCATGTACTTATTTATTATTTCACCATTACGCCTTTTTACCACATTAGGGAAATCAAACCCGCAAAATACACGACGATATTACATTATAGTACGGGGCAAAAATACGGACGGAAAGCGGAGGAACAAAATGGCCACAATGAACGATCAAAACATGCCTTTTTTCCGCTTTTTAGGCTTGACTTTTTAAGCAACAAACTTTGAAGTGCGTCGGTTTCTTTTTGGGTTGGTCATCAGGAACACTGAAATGAACTCTTTTGTGTTGTTTCCGCCTTTCACGCACGACGCCATATGCTATTGATTTAATGTTTAAATATGGCCGTAGGAAGCATGAGAACATAACCCTAAGCCGACTTTTTGTAAACGAATAAATCTTCCCGCCAGGTGTGTAGTGAAATGAAAGGCATAAACATGGACATTCAACATTTCCATCCTTTGCCGTTGCAACCTTGTATCACGTTTAGAGGAAATTAATAATCAGTGAGAATTTTAAATTGCTTGTTTGAAGCGCGATGAAAATAAATAGTTTATTTTGATTGATTATATTAGACAAAAATCGAGAATTTGACTGGCTCTCGGTTGTTTTCGGAAAATTTCTAAAGCCTAGCTTTGAATTTAAGAGATTGAGCTTTCTCAGATATCATTTAATTTTGAGTTATCAACAGAATTCCTGACGCATCATTTTTCATAATCAGTAAAAGAGTATACAGGGAGGCTAGTAATAAAGAGCCTCTGAGGAAGGTCTGCTGTCTCCAGTCCTCGATCTGCGGGCATCGAAGTTTGAAGGCTTCTCCCGTTCAATCCCTAGTGATCTGTTACTTGGGTACTCTGGGCCCATAAACCTTTTTGAGCTGCCGTATCTCGTGGGTGTGGCAGGTGAGTATGGGCTTCGTTGGTATCTGAGAGTTTCATTCTGTCTGAAGTAAAGGCAAGGAGAAATGTTGACGTGGAACTCTATTTGGTTTCCGTGCTTGAAAATGAACTCAGGAATAATTACCTGTTACATGATAGCAACCATCCTGAAATTCATGTTGAGTAACAAAGGTGTGTAAATAGGGTCTCAATGGAGGTGATGACTTTTACAACTAATAATTAAAATGTTGGCCATTTTACGGCTATCGGTCAATTTCTTCCCCATGTTGTTAAAAGAAAACTTTCTAAGGTTAACTTTTATAAGATCAACGGTTAAAACTCGCCAATTTTTATGCCTAACGGCTAATTTTTTTTCCGTTTTACAGCTAAGAGTCAACCTTATCGAGACCGTCTCGAAAAATACATCAGCAAATAAAGAGATTACACATTGCATTGAATTTATTCTTAAAAGTATGCGTCAAGTTTCTCTTTCTTATTCCTTACGTCTTGAAGGAATTTCGGCGTCGAGTTATTATTGTATCCATTAACGTTCTTTTTTTTTTGCGCTGTATGATTTGTCGTGGTCAGTGGGGCACTTTGGTTCTAGTTAACGAGAGAACTGAGGCGCTCAAGCGCCCCTCTTACTTTTGAAGCCCTATTACGATTTGTCAAAAAGGCTGTGTGGCGTAACTTGAATTACTTCCACAGTAACATATGTTGCAGTTAATCGCCCATAAATAATATTAGTGCGAAAACTGCAAATGATTTTAATATTTCTTAGGTTCACTTTGCGTTAACAAAAGAAAGTTCTTAGAGTCTTAAAAGTCTTTGCCTTTTTATGTGATCAAAGACCTCGTAAGTGCTCTAAACGAGTTAGTTGTGCTGTTATAAAATTTGAACATTACATTCTTTACTGTAAGATTTAAGATCAAAACGTCTTCATAAACGTGGACAGAACTTATAATTTTTGTTTGAAAGGGGTGCACCTGGCTTACCTCTCGCCGTTCATATCTCTTGTGTGAACATCTTTTGTGCCGAATGTCCCTACCACTGAACCATTTTCAGACTTCTTTTGCGGTAAGGTTCTACCACGCTGCCAGTTGTAGTTGTGTCCTTCTATCATGTAATCAGGAGGCGGGGTCTTGACGGGGCCGTGTATGAATGGATCAACTTCCGGCAGTATTTTCCTTTCAACCGTACCATATGCGTTTAATTTTGGCAACTCTTTGACGTGTAAATGTTGCTTGTTTTCATTGTGGCGATAGTATACGAAAATACCAACGATAATTGCAAGAACAAGTGCACTAGCAGCGCTGGCGAAAAACACTGTTATATAGTCAGACCCGTGATCTGAAAAGAAGGGTGCAAATTATAAGTGTTTGTATTTTTTTTTAGCTGCGATTATCAGGCATTTAGATCAATGTAAACCACAAGCTGATATCAATTCTTTATATTTCCATTAAAAAGCAACTTGAGTAAATGAAACTTTGATACAAGCGAAATAATTCACCTCTCCAAGAACGGCATAGGGAAGATTCAAAGTTAATGGAAAGCATTTTGCATTGGGCAAAGTGAAGTAGCGTGAATGATTCGCCGAAAACTTAGGCAACAGCGCAGACCCCAGTTTGACTTTGTTCATTCTCACTTTCCTGGTCTTGACTGCAATTTCATGTTTTGGAGGTTTATACGATAGGATGATAAACAAACGAATGGGCTTTTTCTCTCTACCCCAATATAGGGTTGTTACCGAACCTTAGTCGTTCTCATATACCTTGCACGAACAAAAGCCACACAAACAGTGCACCTGCGATCCCAAGTGATCTGACGTTAGAATCAGAAGAGGAGCCAGCCTGCTCCACATAAGGAGTGTCGATGACAATTGTATCTTCCCTAGTGTTGGCGCTGACGGTTGTCGTGACATTCCCAACTGTCTTTGAAAGCAGGGTCAGTGGAATGGAACTGGAGGGAGAGAGAGAGGTTGCTGTTGGAGATATTGCTACCAATACCGATGAGGAACTGACCAATGAAGAGGTAGGGACTGATACAATGCTTGTTGTTGTGGTTTCCGTTCCTGTTGGTAGCTCTTTAAAAAAACGTAATAATGATAATACGTAAGAATATCTTAGGACGCGACAGTTCGTTGGAATAGATTAGATTTTACCCATATCACGTCTTAAGCTTTGAGACACTATGAAATTAGGCATTGCGCAGAAATGGTAAAACGTAAGTTACTTTCGACTTTTTTCCTATGGACAAGACGATGCTCAACGGTAAAACCTCTAGAGCTGAAATTCTTGTTGCATCACATAGCGTAGATTTCCATTTTTTTTTCCAAAAAGCAGCTCAACGCTCTGAACGAGGGAATAAGCTGGTGTCAGTTTTCTGCATGTAAACAAATAATTTTGTTATTCTTAATCTTCAGATTCAAAATATGTTGTTAGACCTTAGTTTACCTTTTTCCGCTATGACAATACATAGCTGGAGGGGTGAAGTTAGACTTTCCTCATTACTTAAAGAGGTATAAGGGTAAAAACGGCAGTTTTCAACAGCATTCACGAAGATTGATATTACTCACCGCATGTATAAAACAAAGTCAAATACAAATGCTTCTTCTGCGGGAAACGATCTCCGAAGAGTCCAGCATTAATTTTCACCCTGCACTTGTTTCTCCTTTCACATAGGGCTTTAAACTGGCCTGTGACGTCATCGTCGCCCCACTTGTAATTCGTGTCATTATCGTGTCCGTCGTAGGGGCACAGCACGCGACCAGGCTGTGCTCGTCCATAGTATGCAGAATAAATATTCAGCCCCAAGCTTGCGTTGGCGCAGTGGACCACGAAGTGTTCTCCGTCACATGCTACTTCGCTTTCTATAGCTTCAAAATCTGGTAAGGAGCTCGCTGAAAAGAAAAAACAAAAAACTTTGCTTTAAGTCACTTAATGCAACGAAATTCGAATTATTAGGCAAAGTTCTGGTTAAGTACATAAGCATTGAGAGATGGAGCAGAAGCTTATAACCAAGGTCGTAAGCTCCTGGTGGAGACAGTTATTATCCACTTTTGATCCATGAAACTGAATACTATTTTCCAAAGCTCTTAATTAAGCCCAAGAAAGATCGCAAGGAGAATAAAACTCTCAAAATTGTTATTCTTTTTTTCTTTTCATCGGAGGTTGATTTAAAAATAAAAAATAAAAAAAGCTAAGAAAATTTAGGACTCCTCTAAACAAATTAAAGTTAAGAAAATCAATTGTTGAACATCGTGGTTTCATGAAATTTCGGTCCATGTAAAAAAAAAATTTGTTTGAGAATTTCAATTTCTGGGCTGCTTTACGTCATGTACACTGAATTCCAATAGCAAAGATCGAACCATAATACAGCAAAAAAGTTAGATAGCCCTCTCGTTCTCAAGAAATTAAATGAAATGATTCATTTGCAGAAATGGCTCTTAAATGGGGCCATTGTTATGTATTAAATGTGACAGAGTCAGTCATGAAAACCATACGGGCATTTCTGACCTGCCGAAACTATTGCAAATTGGATTGTCCGTGAATTGCTTTATATGGTATAACTAAATTCGGATATTATGTCGTTTATTGCAGTGTTAATCTAATAATGTTTGTGAACTTGGGGCAGAAATTTACCATTATTATTAGGGTCTTGTCCCTCATATAACCTTCTGCCGATACAACTGTACATGTTCAGTTGATCCAACTCAAATAGAAGTTTGTCACTTAGTACTCCTATCAATCGCTAACAAAAAAAGAATGACGTTTCATATTTGTTAATTGACTCTTAGACCTTACAATCAATCTACGTTACACAAAGTCCACTATCAACAGTAGTTCTGTTAGGCCAAGTTGTTACAAATTGATAAAACAACCCGATAATCGATCAGTGTCAGAGAACTAAAATAGCAGTGATAGAAGTTGAAAAAAAAAAAGAAAGAAAAAACTCCAGTGGAGTATTTTTACAGTTTAATAATCCATTCAGTTGAAGCTGAGTTCTCAAAAACACTACCCACAGGATTTAGCTCTTCAGCGAGATTTCTAATTTTATTTGTCGTTTGGTTTTAAAGTTTCGTGTATGAAGGTCTCCTCTAGTTGCTATAAATTTTCTGTTTTTCGTCATTCTCAATGCGGAGTTCAATTTTGAACATATCTTTAAAAAACGGAGACCAAACTGGTGCTAACTTCTATCTCTTTGAGTTCAATTATTTCCTTTTCTTAAAGCTAATTAATTGCAAATGAACCCATGATACCAGTCGATATAATTCTTGCTTGAAAAGAAATTTTTCTCAATTGTAAAGATGCTTGTATATTGACGATATTGATCAAACGCTATTTTTGTCGAAAAATTATCTATACGCAGACACTTCCCTTATATTTACGTTTGTTTTCCGTCAAAATACTCAGTGCAGTGAGAGGAACCGTTTGTACTAATCAATGATTTACTCTTTGAAAATAAAACCTATTTTCGGGATCTTGTGTCTCTTTTTAAGGACTCAGTTTATTTGATTTCCGAAAAACACTCTACATTGATGATTGTTGTCTCATATCATATGCTGACTATTTCATATGGATACAGAAAGAAAAAAAAGGTGTTTTTTTGCCAACACTAACGAACATATTTTCTGTTTCACACTAAACTACACAATTTGACGAAATTATTCGAAGGCGGTTGGTTTGATTTGCACCATTCCTTAAAAGATTAAAAAAAAAAAAAGACTATTGCTGCTCTATCCATCTCTATTTTAAAACAGATCGAAAAAACCCGGTAAAAATGAAGTAGACAAAATAGTACTAATCTAATTACATGTTATTTTTCCAAACTTGCAATGTAATAAATGAAGAATTACTCAGTAAAGATATTCTTTGAGATCGAGGTAAATATCGCAGTTATTTACTAAATAATGTTACGAGATTAATATATCAACTACTTCTCATCGAGATGCGACTATACTAGCACTTTTATGGAAAGTTTTTAAATAAAACTCGAAACATTTTAGATCCAATGAATTTGCCAACAGTGAAAAATTCATCAAGTATGCTCTAACCAGAGCAAGCATTTTCTACCATGCCAGAGAGAAGTAACTGCCTCGCATTATATTTATCTACCTTTAAGAAAGCCTAGTATTGTGTATAAAGTTTTAAATTCATGGCAATTAAATTTTAAATTCACAAGAAGCAGTTTAGAAAATATTTCGGAGAGCACATCTGTGGAGTTTCCATAGTCGATGAAATTAATACCCCAAATTACCCAAAGAGCTGTACTTTATTAGAACCTAGCATTTAATTTGGAATCGATCCCAGCTGAACAAAGCGGAATACAAACACAAAATTTAAATGTATCATAGACATTCATGCATTTGTTGTGTGGTTTTATACTAAGATTAACTGCAATCCTATTGGTCAACGCAAACGAATACTAGAATTTCTCAGCTGGGCGTTCTTTAAGCGTTGTGCAAATTACTCCGCCTTTTAAAGAAAACAAGATTTTCGAGAATGATTGAATCAAAAATAGCTTACATGAAACAAGTCTCATTGTCTTAGAAGCCGCAAAACTGCGACAATTGCGTTAAGGGAACTCACGGAGCTACCTCTCTCGGTACCCAATCAACAACTTATGCGGTTGAATCGTAAACATACAAGATTAATCGTGACGGGATTTCTTTGAGTCTAAATTAAACGTTTTCATTCGTGATAATAAGCGGCAAACCTCGAACTGAACTTAAAATTCAATGGTATAACACCCTTGAACCAAAGAATGCCGCCAGGCGTAATTTCCGAGAAAGCTGAAAGAGATATCTCGGTCGCTTTAGCTAATTTCGAAAAATTTCAGCAACATTAGCGCTGGATGAAAAAGGGAACAATTACGTATCAATAACTGATATCCTTGAACTCGCGTGTTAATATTTGTTTAAGGCCTCATATCTTTGTCGATCGAACAAAATGTTATTGAAAGTGCCCATTTCAGAGCCCAGCCCTTGAAGAGCTGTTTACACTACAGATGAAGTCTGAAACTTTCCTCGAAATGTGACCTCTTCGAGAGATTAATCCGGTGCGTAAGCCTCAGTAAATCATTTAAAAAATTTTACGTTCAACGTACAAACTGTAAACAAAGAGCATAAATAGTAGAGGAATATTAGATGAAACTGTAATAAAGAATCAGAGAAAACTGTAGAGTTTACCTCCACAATGAGGAAAAAAATCACTGAGAAGCAGCGGAAAGACCTATGGCATAAAATACAAAAAAAACATGTGAATTCTTAACAGCGCAATCACTGCTCATTCGTGTTCGGCTTAAAACAGTTCGCTAGTAACTGTACGCAAATTACAGTTCACTTACCAATTTCAAAACACTCGCTTTGTACAATAGCTCAGAGGCCATTTCAGTGCCATGTAGAGATTCCAACAATTTCACTTTGGTCGCGCTGAATCGTGATCTACCCTGGGTAAGAGAGAAGTTAAAGAATTAAAGCGAGGGTGAAATATCAAGCCGAGAGTGCGAGTCCCCCTCAGTTTTCTGCTAATATATCTTCATGAACTGTTGCCGCAGGGGTTTTGTTGAATCATCGCTCACCGCACCACCTGTCTTAGCACTGCAGACAATAGACAAATCTTGCGTCAGAATTTTAATCAGCAAAGGTTTCAACTAAACCCAAATTTTAACAAAGGAAGACGAAGAAAAGAATTTCTAATAAAGGCAGCAAAGAGTTAACGAATTAAGAACGCTCTCGAAGCGGGTCATTTAGCAAAAAGCGAATGTTTTTGTGAACATGCTTCATTTGAAAACAGCGCGTAGACTAGGGCGCGTCCGATGTTGCCAAACTGGATGAAGTCAGAATGGCGACTCTCAGCAAAATTGATTAATCTTCTCAAATTAATAAGTAAAATCTCAATCAAAGCTTCACAGTTCAGCCTTTCTTTTTTTAAAAGAAGGATTTACACCCAAGCATTCTGCGATGACGCCTTTCTAAGTAAACATTTTGACTTCTCTATGAACCTTGTACCAATTAAATCAATATTTCAGCTTTATGCCTACCTGCGGGGCAAAAACGTCTGTTGATCGAAGATGAAAAGAATGAAAACTGTACGCCAGTTCAACTGGTTTTGCTAACGAGCTCCGAAACCCACGGTTATTTATGTGCAAACAACAATGTCATCGTAGATGTTAATCAATCGTAGCAACTTCCTATTTGTGATATACTTTTTCCTTGTCAAAGTTAGCATTAGCAATTTTCTTGTTCTCCTATGACTCTTTAATTAAACGTCAACGAGTGACCATACTTTCATCTCACCACATTTGTATTCATTTGGAAGCAATTATTAAATTTGACTGATCCTTGACGTGAACAACCCACCATTAGTCACGAAAAATTTATTCCATTGTTCTTGCTGTTAGTTTTTTATCTTTAATCTAGATTGCCGATCTAAAGTTGTGAGACCAACGTTTACTTTACAACTTCCGGTTTGATATTTGAAGATAGCTTGGCAAGAAAGACGCGAAAACGTGCGGCTACTGAAATCTCTACTGCTAGTAATTAGGTTTATCTGTATCTTTCTTGACTCTTCGCTACTTTATGGCCTTTGTTGGGAATATATGTGTGAATCCAATTTTTAATAGCAAAATAAGGGCACAAATTATCTTGACGCACACTTTTCTTTATTGTCTCAATCACATCGGCATAATTTTCCATCCACGTTCAACCGAAAAAGACAAATGATAAACTTCCCATTCAGAGCTATATTTGGATAGTCCACAATTGCGGTTATCCGAAGTACTCTGTGCCAAAAGGATTGAATAGTTGCCTGGATAATACAGTACGGTAATTCGCTTGTTTTAATCAATGCTCGTCAAGGAAGTCGGTACGACAATTGGAGGAATATGATGCATTAAGAAGTGGGTTTCGTAGATTTGTACGCAACTCTACGTCGTCTGCACCAAATTACTCAAGTTACAGATCAATGGTTTTTCAAGCACTCATACCCTTTGATACGTCTTTGCCTTTTTTATTCGTTCTGCCTCTCATGCACAACTTTTCCCCTCTTTTCCTTCATTTCTCCGCTTTTCGGTTGAATTTGAGTCTCTTGTTTATATGAAGACTGTAATCCCACGCAATGCCGACGCGCTTTTTCCTTCAGTGACTCAATTCAGCACGAATGAAAAGAAAAATGTTTATCTAATCCCTACTAATGTGCACGTTGTTGGGTCATTGAACGTTTTTTTCTCAGTGGTTATTGGTTTTATAATAAGATTTTTGGGCTAAATTTAGAAACCCGCCTCCTTAAGCATCAGATGTCAGATGGTTTCCAAGAAAAGTACCCACCGAAGTGAAGTTATTGCCCATCTCACCAATTACGCTAATCCATCCTCTGAATCTTAAAATAACACTGAAAAAGATCTATAGGTTTCGACCCGTTGAACTTGCACCCGGGAGCGTTTTCGAAGCTTCTAGAAAGAGTTATCAGAGATGCGTGTTTCTCTTCATCGCCGAGTTGAGCTAAAACAAATAAATTAAACGACCAATTTTAAGTAACTGCGAGCTTTCCGTCTGATGATATGGAAAAAGTAAACTACAATAAAATTCGTAAGGCTATCATTCAGTCGCTTTGCCGCAAACGGCACATTTAGAACTGTTACTTACGGAATGAAATTTGCCCTCACAACTTTGATTCATTTAGTATCTATACCTGGAAGGATTTGCATATCCTTTCCGGTTCGACATCTTGTAGAAATGTTTCGAATGCCTTGCATCTATCCCTTCCTGATACTGCAGATGGTCTTAATCGGGTTATAGCAGAATGCTTTTCAAACAATTTGGTTCTATCAATCGAGTTGATGTAAATTTAGACCTTCGGTAGAGTGAATAATGAAATCTTTTGATAGTTGGACAAACGATCGTGACGAAAAAAGATACGAGAGTAAATTAAAGGACTGACAATCCATGCGCGGGTAAAGTTATACAATCTGACATTACCTCACTTGTTATCACGTGACAATACTCAAACTGAATGGGAAGACGACTTTCCAAGTTGCTAATGGGTACAAAGCATTTAAAACTATGGAGCTGTTGTTCCCCCGACGAAAATGCTACAGTTATGCAACCGTTAACACTCGGGTTCCTCACAATAACAACTGAAAATCTAGTAGAATCCATGCTGCGTATAAGGTATTGAATCAATATACTTTGTTTAGCAATTTTGATTTGTTTTCCTTTACTTTTCAAATTTCCGTATTTTGTATTCCATAACAACTTCTCCACATCGATTATGTGACTGTCTTTAGGGCTGCCAAGTCTAAATGTTTTCGTTTAAATCTCACCTTTAATATCAACGTTGTTATAGTCTTTATAGGTGCACTGTATACTATTCTGTGGATCACCATCAACGCCCCTCTTTAAATTACAAAGATTACGGTTATATTTAAACTGAGACCGCATCCGCTTTCTTCAGTATTCACAACAATCTAGTAGCTTATTCCACAGAGAACAATCAATGCAAATACTAAGAATACAAAATATAACGTGCTTTTCAAAACATATTTTTAGCAGAAGCCATCACGGAAGGAAGACCTCCAGCTGAGCTTCAACTTCCTTCCACTCAAAAATTTAAAACTCACTGAGCATCATCACATCGTCTGATAGTTCACTGAGATAACTTTTAGCTTAACCTTTCCTCTTTCACTCTGTTTGTTTTTTAACACATACGCATCATAAAACAGACCTGCAAAATTTCGGATCTCTACCAAAGTGGATTGAAAAATCAACAGAAGAATGACAGCAAAGGTCTCAAAACAACCTGGCGACTTTCAACCAATAAAATTGAAACAATAAATTCATAAATGTTTTATTCTCTCGCTTTATTTTTGAATTTGATTTTGAATAATACTTATTTCTCAGACACCAGGAGGCAATAGCCAGAAATAGATAATTTGTTTGTAAATATCCCCCATATTGAATTTCCAACACTTCTTTGCAGCCCATATAAATAAATTATTCACAGAATTGATTGATTATCATAGAAAGGTATCATCTTACGTATGTTCTTGAGGATCCTTTTTTCATCGAGTCATTTTTGTCAAAAAAAAAATAATAAAGCAAAATTCTCTGAGAACACTCTCGTCGAAATGTAGGGGCATAATTTTGTAGGTCAAGGGCCAATCAGGATTTAACGATTTATTAGTGGAAGCAAATTTCACCATATTTTTTTTCTTTTTTTCTTTTTAACGGATACTAGAACTTGGTTGCTACACAACCAAATGCAATGCTATTTCCGACTAATAGCAGATTGAAATCGGCTCCACAATCATTAATTGGGACAACTTGGAGGTTTCTACTCTTATTCCTTTAAGAGTCGTCTCTTTATGATTCTTATCACCAAAAGCTTTTAAGCCTTCGACTCCTAGAGGTGATTAAAATGGAATTTCTCCAAATTCAACCCAACACTTTGTCCAGCAAATGGGTGATAGGAATAGACAAATTTATAGGCTAAAGGGCGCCACTTTGACAAGGAACTAATTTCCATTCACTTGTTTGCAGGAAATGTATAACAAACGGATGGGGAGAATTACTGATCAGATCTTTACAACTAGTACAGTGTATTACACTTTTGGACAAGCATCACCAGCTATAACAAATGACGATGGGCCAGAATTTCGGCCGCCGTGAGCGGTCGGGCGTCCTCTGAAATCCGTCGTATGGGCGGCTGCGTGAGACTCTCACGGGTGAGAGTCAGTCTTGGCTCCTTATTGCTCACATTGTCACGATATTTTGACAAACGGAGTTCAAGTTCTGGTGCTCTTAGCCTCGATGAACTATCAAATTCCTTCGTGGAGTCACTTGAAGACTCCTCATCTATATCTGGGACAACTTGTGCAGGTTCACTGACTGTGTTAGTAAGATACCTACTGAAACGAAAAAGTGAAATTTACAAAGGATTCTTTTTTGTATAAATACTCTCTAATTGGAAGGAAAAGGTGGGCGAGGGAATGGGGAAGAGAGCCCAGTAAAGAAGGGTTAGGTTTCTATAGCGCAGTTGTAATGCGGCCAATTTTCTTGTCACAAAGAGCAGTTCAAGATATGTCGGTGCCAAGTGAGAAAGTTCACCTTAAGGCGTCAAGAAATGCTTTTTTAGATGGTAATGGAAAGTAATGACGATTAGACGATGCGTTGGGAAATGGGAATGATTCGTTGCCTTTTCAATTTTAAGAGATACTTCATTTGGTAATCTCACCAACCTCATGGCACAATGAAACTACAATCATTTTGAACGCTGCAAGAAGGTTGTTGCTCTTGCAGCACCAGGAGAAGCGATTCTTTTGCGATGAACTGTTACTGATTTACTCACCTTGCTGTCATAGTGTTCCTCAGGAAATCCAACACACCAGAGGCTGTAAGTCTCTTTTGAGGGTCTAACATTAGCAACAGACCTATCAGTGACTTGGTGTTATCAGACACGCGCCCGTCGCTGAGGGGGAATTGAAAAGGAAAACATTAGTCATAATCACTTTGTTGAGCACTAGTTTCATGGACGCGTCCACACGTGGTCTTGGACACAGTGAAAGGGAAGTGGACTCTAGCTCACCTACTGTACACGGAAACTGTTACTTAATATGAAATGCATGAAATAACTCCGTCCTTAACCCTCTAACCTCTAAAGTGATCTCTATTTAAATTCTTCCATCAATAATCCATTGTTAAATTGTTCAGATGGAACGAAATAATCAATTTAGGAGTATAGTTGAACCCCGATAACTCGAACCCTCGATAACTCGAATTTCCCGCTAACTCGAAGCAAAACTGATTTCCCTTGGATTTGCCTCATGCATATACTGTAAGTTTAACATCAATAACTCGAAACTCCGATATCTCGAATTCCCGATAACTCGAAGTGATATTTACTTCCCTTCAGGTACTTTTTTTGGTAATTTTACCCTCGATAACTCGAAGTCGATTTTCACTTTTGCAGACTAATGAGCCATAACGTTTTGCACCGGAAGAGTACATTTAATCTCATCCATATATTATGACAAGTTACCCTACCAGCTGTTACTCCCTTCTTGCTTAATCTGCCAGGTTTTCAAAACAAAATTAAAGAATGAGAAATGGCAGAAGGGGATGGAAGAGGGAAAGGGTAAGGGTAAGGGGAGGGTGCTACGTTTCCTGAGACCCCAAAGGGCCTTTCTTCCCAATTTTCATGCAGCGGTTATCTTTTTCATTTGCACCCAAATATTTTTGCTTACTCAGCTGATTGAGGTTGCAGAGAGACTGTTCATATTCTGACAATGCCAAGAACCTCATAGCATCCAAAGACTTTTTAACTTATTCACATTTAATAAAATATTATCAAAAACTGTCTTTTTCTGAGACGTTGTGAGGCTGTGAATAAGTGAATTTTCCACAAAAATATACTCACTTTGGAAGTACAAACTCTGCAGTTTTGATCTTTCTGAACAGCTCGTGAGGTATGCTGTCATAGAATGGAAACTGACCGTACAGCATGGTGTATAAAACGACTCCAAGAGCCCACATGTCACTTGCTTTTCCTGAATAAGGAGCCCCTTTAAAAAACAAAAGAGGGAGTTCAACTTTTTCGCTCATCGTTAGCATTCAATGAAGGTAATAGCTTTGGATTAAACTCCCCTTTTTCGGGCAGAAAGTGAAGGTGAGTGAGTGAAGTGATAAACAAGATGTCTTGCATCATAATGAGGTATGCTGTTGACTAAAATTTAAAAAATGCATTATAACCATAAAGTTTAGTCTAGAGACAGACAGACAGACAGACAGACAAAGAAGTAGAAGGCGGAG